TATTTGTAACATGAATTTTATGTTATTGATAAATATTTTAGGTATTTTTGTGTAGTATTTTTCTGGAACTTCTGCTGCAACCATTGATGAGGACAAGTATTTAAATCAATTATTCTCCTTCCCATTGGGAAGCTGCTGTAGAAAGAAAGGACTGACTTTTAAATTTATAGGAATGTTGAGACAAATTTGCCAATACTCAGCTGGTTTTCCAGTACTGACCTTTAGCTGCTGCTTTGTTTTCACTGCTTTCTTTTTTTTTTTAAATTTGATTTTACTCTTGGTTCTGAAATGCCCTAAATCCATGTCCAAGGATTTAATGCTCTGCCACTTTCAGCATCTTTGGTACTTGCATTAATTTTGCAAATTGGTGCCTATTTCAATCCATCATGATTTTTCTTGGAAAACAAAGTAAAAAAAATAGTTGAAAAATCAAAAGGAGAGGACCATGATTAAGATTATTTGTGATTATTATCAAAAACTTGATAACAAGACAACTTGAAGCTGTCTTTTCTGTTCTTAACTGTAAAATAACACTGCTCTGACTTAACTTTTGGTAATTCACCATCTTTTGGCTCTCTCAGTGTTTTCAGAGTTTTTAACCCAACAGTGGGTCCACTTGAGCATTTTCCTTCATGTACTTCCTTTTTAATAAATAAATAAAGCAAAATATCTAAGTTGTTCTCAAAACAATGTCACCCTTACTAAAGCTTTTACTTTTGCCTACTGATTTCTCACAATGATCTGTGGGATGGGTGGTATATAAAAGTTGGGATTTTTTTACAGCAGTTTTGCTGCATCACTGAAGAGGATTGTCCAGGTGTGTTGCAAAAAGGTTTGGATATTGCAAAAAGCTCTTTTGCACAATTTACCCTGCGTATTTAAAAGAACTGTGTGACTGCTAAGGAGTGCAGGGGTCAAAAAAGTTATCCTGCCCCCTTTTATATACATATAATTAGCAAATTATGACAAACCAAGTCAGATTATGCATCTGGCAAAACTTACTTGTGGCCCTTTCAGAAAATATATAATTGTAATATCATGTTGTCACTATTCACCATATTCTGACTTTTTTGTTGTGGTGGCTTTAGGTTGACTGGTCAGGGTTTTTAATTTAATTTTTTAAATTTTTTTTTTTTTTTCAGAATAAAAGTGTTGTGGACACCTCCATCCCTTGAGTTCTGAATGTGGGAGAAAATGGCCTTTCATGCTGTTCCTGCTTTTCGTTGCAAGATCATCAACTTTATGCCATGTTTAACAAATTACAGCTTGAGAATTCTTTCTGCCAGGGAAGCACCAGATTTGTTTCGATATTTGTTAGCATTGATAGAGAAATCAATTGGTAATTTTAGTCAGTCTTATTTCTGGCCAGGGTCAGCAGTACCAGCAGCATGGGAACTCTGTGTCTGACCTGAGGAATTGCTGAAGCCCAGGTAGAAGTGGAAGTGCCTCCACTTTTGTGTGGCTGGAGCTGGGCCACAGCAAGGTCATTTCATATCAGTGCAAACAAAACGTGCCCTTTGCACTTGACTCTTTTTGCTTTAATACTGAATTACAACACCAAAAGGATGGTTCCAGAATATCCCAATATACCTAATAATCCTCTGGTCAACCTGTATTTTTTCCAAACAAAGCAGAGGGCAGGTCTTTGTTATCTTCTCCTGTAGTGCATGTGACGCTGAAACATTAAATGCAAAAATCAGTTTCCTCGTGCTGGTTCCTATGAGACATCATGGCAGTATCACAGAGTGTTTTACTGACACAGCCTTTGTCTGCCATTACTTTTGCTCTTAAACCAGCAGATATTTAGGGCTGCTTGGCTTTTCCCTGGCAGGCTGGGCTGAGGGTGTGAAATTACTGCAGGAGATCTCACTGACGATTCACAGGGATACATTTTCTACTCTATCAGATGCTGGACTTGTGCCATGCTTTGGTGGCATTCGATACCATGGGAGTTTTTCCTCAATAGAAGCCATGGCTGGGCCTGAACGTTCTGGCTATGAAATGTCCCAATTTGTTGGAAAACCCCCAGTTTGGTGGCTGGGAATCCAGCGTGGGCACCCCAAATGTCCTCCCTGCTGCTCGTGTTTCACTCAGGGTGGGGTGACCACTCCTGGCAGCACCTCTGTGCCTGAAGGGTGAGGACAGCTTTTGGGGCTGCACTTTGCTCTCCTGATGCACAAACTGCTGCGGTTCTGGCAGGTTCAGTGCTCTTCCCTTTCTTTCTCAGTGTCGCCTCTTGGCACCAGCAGCACTTCAAAGATAAACTCTGTGAGTGCAGGAGGGCTCAGGGGGTGGAAGATGTTTCTGCTTATATGTGGTATCCAGGCACTGCAGCTGTGTTCTTTCACACACACACTTTTTCTAGTTTTAGAAATTTCCTAAAGGAGGCTGAAATACCAATAGCTGCTCCATTCTAACGTAATACTGCCAAAATCCTGGCTGCTGAACTGGCATCCATTGTCACTTCCTTTCTGGAATTTCCTTGAAAATCCTCTCCTGTTTTGTTGGTGTGGAAATTAGCTCCAGGGTTTTGAAAATGATGTGAAGCTAAAACCTGAGAAGAGCAGTCTGAGAAGGATAAGTTACTGTTAGGTTATTCCAACTTGAGGCAAGCATAGTGCCAGAGGTAGTGAAGACATTATCTCTGCTCCTTTCCATTTTTTTTGGAAAAGGAGATGACCCCCATTATGCACATATTCCCCCTTTAACCAGGAAAATGAGAAGAATTTAAAGGAATCTCTAAGTGTCACCTTAGGTGAGAGGAGGTGCAATGAATTTAGGGAAAAACATAACACAAACGGTCCTAATCTATAAAATATAATAAGTGTTAAATTTAGTCATTAGTTGATGTTGTTACTGTTAACATCACACTTTAAGTGTTTTTAAAACCTGTATGCAAGAGGTTGAGTTCCTAGAAATGCTGTAGTAACAGAAAAGATGTGCTGAGACCCCTGTCATGTGCCCTACAAGAACATGGGGACAGCTTCTAAAGTTGGCAAAAACGTACAAAATTCTACTTCACTGTCTGCATGGGGGGAGATTGTCATAGGCAGGAGATCTTAAAATGAAGAAATCTTTTCTGTCATTCATTGCTTATCACAAGTGATAAACAGCCAGACACTTCTGCTATTTCACCATGACTGACAAAATCAGCTGTAGGGGCTAAACACCTCAAGATGGAGAGGAAGCCAGGAAAGCAATCATTTGTTTGTGCTGCTCTGGTGCTATTAATTCCAGCTGCAGTAGCTGACCCGCTGAGGATGCTCTGATGTGAGAATCACATGATGGAGATGTCCTTCTGTGTGAGATTTAAACCCTGAGCTCTGCACTGTGAGCCTGGGTATTTAACAGGTGTAGCTCTGTGTGGAATTCAGCGTTTCTGTGAAAACAGTCTGTAATGTTTTTTTGTGCAGCACAGAATTACCAGTGAAATGCATTTGCAGGCAGCTAGTAAGGATGCACATCTAATGCTCTTCAAATGGCACTCCAATCATCTGCTTTAAATGATTAATAAGGACAAGCTGAAAATAGCACCGCATTTACCTAATGTTTGCAGGATTATTTTTGTAAACTTTTCATTCAGGCTTTCTCTGCCATCTTTCTAAGCATTGTCAAAACAAAAAATACTGCTATTCTTGATTAGTTTTCCTCAGTTGGTTTGATCTTCCTCATGATCCAGGGAAATGTAGCAGGGGAAAGCACCCGTGTTCACTCTCACTTGACAGTAGGCATGTGGTTTAAGATCAGACGAGAAAACCAATCTAGATATTTGCAGAATACTTACAGGTTTCTGATTTTCTTCCAAATCTGGTAACTGAACTTGATGAGACCTGCAAGTCTGGATTTTGTTAACAAGCTTGTCTGAAAGCTCTACAAATATACCGTAACATCTTCTCCTGGCTTTCAATAAGTTGGAAAGAGTTTTAAAAGATGTGGAGGGATTTGTACTTTCGTGTTGCCTGTCCTACTTTTTCCTTTAGTCCTTGCTGAGATAAGGTTAAAACTGGAATTTAAATGGCGTTAAGGAAGAAGCCAAGATAGTAATCAGAATATGATTAACAGTGTATCATCTGTCAAACAACCAGGGCTGGGCAGTGCTGCTATTCACCAATAGAAAGTGGTGGAATACTTCCAGTTTTCCAAGTAAAATGCTGGTGTTGTTCTCTGTGGCAGTCTGCAGGTGCTGTGTGATGTGTACGCATCCCTCACACTACACAACCCCCACCCCACCTACCAAATACACTTTTCTGCTCTTCAAAATCCCCTCTGTCTCCGTTCAGCTTTGGGGACATTTGGTAACTGGTTTTAACTCCCAGGGTGAACAGATTATGAGGCACAAGAGAACTGTTATGAAATCTAACTTAAGCCCATGTGTAAAACCAGAACGTGTTGGTCAAATACCCGGCATTACTACTCTGGCAACATTTCAAAGATGCCATCCTCTTTGTGAATAAAAGTAGTATCTTAAAATCTAAGTCACGGGGCGGGGTTTTATTACTAATTTTCTAAATCTGGAGTGCTGATGCTCAGTCTATGTAACGCACATCACCCGTACATCATAATTCCATTTTTTGTACTTCCCCAGGCGCTGTGTCCCAGGGCGGGACTCTCCAGCTCTCAGAATCCGCGCCAGGCTTTCCCCTTGAGGTTTTTGCAGAATTCTGTCAGAAAACTGCCGCGCGTTGAGGAAAAATAAAAGCAAAAGGCAGGTGCTGGTGTCAAGCGTTGGGTGCCGAACAGGCGCGGCCGAGCCCCGGGGCCGCGCTCAGTGCGCGGAGCCTCGGCGCGGTGCCGGCCCCGCCGCGCATCCCCCGAGCCCGCGGGAGCCCGGAGCGGAGCGGGGCGCGGCGCAGCCTCTCCCCGCTGAGGGGAGCCCCAGCCCCGCCGGGGGAGGCTCGGCTCGGCTCCGGCACCTCGCGGGGTGGGGAGAGGCGCTGCCCGCCCCCCCAGGGCTTCCCCGCTAAGTCTGGCGGAGCCGCCGCCTCCCAGCGCAGCGCAGCGGCCCCGGCGCAGGAGGAGGCGCCGTGCGCGGCCCGAGTCCCCGGGCGCTGCCGCCGGTGCGGGGACAGCGGCGGCTCCGCTCCGCTCGCCGGCTCAGGTAGGAGCGGCAGCGGCGACCCCCGGGGCTGCCCCGAGCCGCGGTGACCTTGAGGGGGGCGGGAGCGCTGCCGGGGCCGAGCCCAGCCCGGGGGCAGCGGGATGCGGCCGGAGGATGCGCTCGGGCGGGGGATGGAGGCGGCTCCGCGGGGCGGGCGGATCGGCGGCAGCGGCTGCGGGAAGCCTCTGATCTCGGTCCGGCTCCAGCCCGGAGGGCTCTCAGGGGCGGGAACGGGTCGGGAGGCGGCGGTGGCCGCGCTCTGCCCCGGCCGGGGGCTGGAGGCGGCGGCGGAGCCCCGCGCTGCCCGCCCGCGGCCCCGGGGACGCCGCTCCTCCGAGAAATGTTAATGTGAGACAGTCATAAGGAGGGAACGCCGCTCCTCCGAGAAATATGAATTTGAGACAGTCATAAGGAGGTGGCTGCCCGCAGCCCCGCTCCCTCGGCGGGGTGATGGAAGGAGAAGCCCTCCCGGGAGCTCCTTGCCCGCCGTGTCCCCGGCGCTCGCCCAGCTCCGGCGGTGCCGCTGAGCTGCGACCGGGCCGGGGCTTTTTTGGTTTTTTTTCTCCTTTTCCACGGGGGGATTTAAACGCTTTACAAGCAGTAGTTTGCAAAGCCTCGCAGTAGTGCTGAAAGCCCGAGCAGAATGCGGCGGCGGGTAACTTTGCGGGTCACGCAGCGCACCAGCCCGCCCGGCTGCCCGGGATGCCGGCTGGGTGCCGCTGTAGTCCCGGTCGCCACCACCTTGGCATGGATGCCGTCAAGATGTGCTTTCCTACCGTCACTGCACAGAACGGGTTCTTCTGCTGAAACCTTGGTTTGGAGACTGTACTAGATACGTGAAAGGAGGGGCACTGTCTTCCGTTCTGTATCTTTGAAAGGCCTCCTGTACTGCAGGCGGAGGAAACCTCTCGTTTGCTGAATTAAACTGTCCAAAAGTTTATTTCTTTCTGTGTATTTCTTGCTGATTCTTTTGCTCGTTTTTTTTTCTCCCCCATCTTATTGTGCAGTTTTATCACGTTACACCAACCCGATTCTGTGCTAATACTTTCTTTACTTTCTTTTTGATTAAAGCGTATTTTGTAGTAAAGTGCTATTTGAGAAGCATGGGTACCAAGATAAGGTGCTGGGAAGATAGGCAAGCTGAAAGCAATGTAGAGTAGGACTTAACTGCTCCCAAAATAAGCTAAAACGTAAGTTTTTAAACGGTGTGAAAGTTGATAGTGCTGTAACTCAACTCCCAAAGAGTAAAAGGGAATCTTTTAAGGAATACTGTGTGTGGCTGGTAGATACTGCGAGCCCTGGTTACGTAAGCAGTTCTTTGAGTGGCTCTGCATGCACACTGTCATGTTCTCAGCAGCACTTGGTGTCTGACCCTGTCCCCTCACCTACACGTGACTAATTTTCATATGCTGACTCAAACAGGATTCAGCATTTTCATGACTTTTCTGTGGAGAAGTGGTTTGTCTGTGGTATCTTGCTAAGAAAGCAGCTCAGTATTCTCTGCAATGACTTCATCTGACGTTAAGCTCGGTTTTCAAAGTGAACATTGCTGCAAGCTCTTCCTAAAGCAAAAGAATATGGATGAAATGTTCAGTTCAGTGCCAATATTAACATAGTCACTTTAACACTTAATGGAATGAATGCAGAGTGTTCTGCTACCTTGAATTCCTATTTGATACCATTACCAGCACTGTCCTTTGCTCACATGCTGTAAATCCAGGACCACAGCCTCTTGCTTACCCAGGCTATTGAGTGTGACATTGATCCCAATGTCTGGCACGTCTCTCTCTCCTGTAGGCACACAGTTTGTGGTGATTGGGAGTGGGGCTGGCCCAGCCCCATCCCCAGTGGCACAGCTGTGAGCAGCACTGCCAGCAATGAGCCATGGAGTGCCCAGGGGCACTGACCAGCCACAAAAGGGAGCAGAGGGCACACAGGGGCAGTGCATCAGCATGAGGGGATAAAAGGCTGGGCTGAAGAACAAGAGGAGTAGATGCTTGCAGCCTTCAGAATTGGTCTGGTGTTACTGTGTGCGGCTTGAAGCTTTCTGAAATTGTCTGGGGTCACTCTGTGTGTTGTGGCCATCTCTGCTGCAACATTATCCCAAACATATCTTTTAACCATTCAATTGGCTATTTCCTGATCATGCTAAGTACATTTGTATTGTTTTTGACAAGCTCCATGGGACGATAACTGGGATATTTGTATGGTGTCCTGTGATGCTGTCACCTGATGGGTTTGGTTTGGAGGAGTGCAGGGAGGAGGCTGAATGGAGCAGCATCCTGGCCAGTGCGTTGGGCTGGGTTTGGTTTGGTTTCCCCAAAGAGGTGTTTGGTGTTATTGGAGATGCCTCAGGGTTCCTCTCCTGGCCTTTGTCACTGTTTCAGAGGGCTGTGAGTCTCCACTGTGTCCCGTGTCACACACCAGGCACCATGGGGCACCTCTGACAGCGTTTGCTGCCTTTTGGAGCTGGCTGAGTCAAACCTGCTGCGTTTGTCTGGCTCCTTATCCTTGGTGAGCCAAGAATAAAGCACCTCAGGTCATTTACCACAGAAACTTCAGTGATGTGACTGGCAAGCTGGACTGTTTGTCTGAATATTGATAATCCTCTAAGTGCTTGGAGTTTATCTGCATCAACAAAACCTGCATATTCTGGTTATTGTAGGCAGTTTAAAGGGTAGCACATGAGGTTGAAAAGGAAATTCTGATACTCAAAACACTCCAAAACTTGGATTGTAACTTAAGGATAGGTTCAGGACTGCAGCTGGGGAAAAGTCATCTGCATTGACCAGGGGAAAAAGCAGAGTAATTGTACAAGAGATAAGTGATTGTTTTAGTGGCAGTCTGATGGGAGATGATAGCGGAGGAGATAACTGGGAACAGAGCGAATGTTTAGAGTTAAATAAAATCGTGTAGCTGCTGAAAACTTTTAAAACAAACATCTGAACAAAGTTCAAACTTCTGGTGACGCTTATCCTTGGAATGTGTGTGTCAGACATAAGAATTCTGTTTCCAAACAGCTTTACATTTAATGCACACTGTACAGTAAATGGTTGCAATTTGCAACACTCAGAGTGGAACTTAAGTTGTCCTTTGAAAGAAGAAGTTTGTAAAAAGTAAGTTAAATAAAATTTTTATGTATAGAAGTGGCAAATGCAAAAGGATAAATAGCTTTAATTATCTGAAAAGAAAAATGTAAAATATTTGAGAAAGGAAAAGTGAGAATAAACAAGAAATATTTGTGTGTAATAGGATGACAGAGGTGACAGCAATGAGTGTCACAGTCACTGAGGTCCAGGTTGGTCTCAGTATATTCATGCTACAAAATTATCAGTTAAATCATAATGGCTTATTTATTACCAAAGCCTGCTTTGAAAAAAGTTTCATCTTCATAAATGGAGTAATTTAGTAGTGAAATATTGCAGACTTCCATTTTATGGGTGTGACCAATTTTTCACATCTACGTGATCTAAGACAGCATTTCCCAAGGGATGTGTGACTCCCACATTGCTGATGACCCCACATCCAGCAGCATGGGCTTGTATCTAAGGGTCATTATGTAAAAGGCTGTGTCTTCACCTATTTTGGAAGTTATGCTCAGAATTCTTGAGTATTTTGTAACATCTAAATAAAACAACTGGTGTGCTGCAGGGGCGCTCTCCACACGCTGGAATGTAAACCAAAAAAGCTTTAAATATTTCTAGGAGGCAGAGGTTGCTACATCTTTAATTAGTGCAATAGGAAGCGTGTTTTGGAGAGTTCACCAAACACCTTTAATTGTGCAGAAAAGGCATTTCTGAAGAGCCTGCTCAGGTCAGTGCCCTCAGTGCCTCAAGAGCAATTCTTTTGTCAATGCTTATTTATCTGCTTCCAGCCTTTCTCTCCTTTGATCCAAAGGCTTGCACTGCTGGGTTTTACAGTCCCTCCATCACTCCCATTCCCATTCACATCCCAAGAACTGCTCAGCTTCTGAGGCTGCCACGTTTGGGGTGCCAAAGGCGTGGGAAGGCAGGGCTGTGGTGCCAGAGCTGAGATCTGCAGCAGTGGGGCTGTGTGTTGGGTTGGTGTGTGGGGTTGCACAGTTGCCATAATACAGGAACCTCTGTTTGCACAGTGTGTTTATTCCCTGGGTGGTGGAATGCCTTTAAAAAGTCCCAGCAGTAGGGTTTTCAGAGCCAGATTTCATGGGTGCTCCGAGGTGTTTCTGCCTTCTGTAGCTGTGGGATTGTGTATTCACTGTGTGTAAACACAGAAACTGTCAGAGGGGCTTGCACGTTCATCAAGGATTGATGTTAATTGTTGAAGGGATGGGATTTGGAGCTGCAAGACTGAATCACTTTTCCCCCTCACACTCCACAGCAGAGTGACCTTGGATGCACATTTCAAGTTTTGAAAATCTTTTGTGTGTTGTGAAGCCAGAATAATGCAGCTGTCTCTGGTCAATGTTTCTGTTTCTCAGATTGATAAATCATTAATTCCACAGTGTTTGGGGAATTGCCTTTAGCCTGATTTATTTATTAAAAAGGCTCAAATAGCTTGTATTTAACTTATGAAAATTATACCTACTCTGAAATCATCCATCAGGGATGAAGATTGCTCCAAGATACTGCAGCTGCTGTCCACTCCAGATGCATCTCTTCATGGAATGCTTTAGGATTCAGGAGTTTCCTGGTGAACAGGATTTCTCCTGATGCTTTATCAGTGATCCTAATGCCCAGCACATTCCTTTTGTTATCTCATTATGAGCAGGAGATTCCAAGCCTCTGGATAGCTTTCCTGTGCAGAAAAAGTCACCTTGAAAGTATTTGCTGATCCTATATATTCTGTCCTGCTTACTGAACAGCCATTCTTCATCAGGGGCAGTTATTCCCACTGATGGGAAATCTTCCATCCTGGAAGGTGTGATTGCATTCAGCACAGCACAGACAAAATGGGGCCATATTTTAGATGATCCAGCATTCCATTTTTTGTGACTCAGGTAATTTGTTGGTATTTTAAAC